ATATATATATATATATATATATATATATATATATATATATATATATATATATATATATATATATATATATATATATATATATATATATATATATATATATATATATATATATATATATATATGTATAAATAAAATAAAAAATAAAAGAAAGGGCCCCTAGTACTGTTCTAAGAGAAAAGTAACGGTCAAAAGAAACTCCCAGAACACAACGAAAATAATGATAATAATTTTATTTATTTATTATAATTGACATATTATTATGTACTTGTAATCGCATTTTATAATTTAATAATATAAGTTGTTAATTTAAATATTTATGTCTACTCGATAAATTGTACTATCGGGCAAACTATATGAGATTGACCTAAAAAATATTGACATGAAAATTTCATCTTTAAATCGATGATTCATGCACAATTCGAAAATATTTGAAAAAAATATTTAGAAGTGGGTAATTGAACCGAGTTAAATGCTACTAACTCATAAATATTTTGTTCATGAAAATAACATGAACTCGTGATGAAAAATTAATGTTAGTAGTATAGTATCATATAAATTCTACAATATTTTGTTTTGAGACTTTATAAATTCCACAATAACATATATTAAGGTGGTGTTTGCAAATGCTTTTTGAAAGTGATTATGCGGTTTTTTTTGCTCATAATCTGTTTTTAGGTGTTTGCAAAATCAACTTTTGCTTTTGCTTCTCTTAAAATAATCTGCTTTAAGCTATTTTTTTAAAAGCACCCATAACCCTGCCTTTTCAATGTTAGTTCATTTTTCAAAATTTTTGCAAACACCCCCAACTTTTAGAAATAAGCATTTAAAACTAACTTAAATCACAATCACTAACTTCTGCTTTTAAATAATCATTTGCAAACACCACCTAAAGATGATTGTTAAATGAAGATTGATAGATGCAGACGGGCTTTTGATAGGTTGCAGAGTAATTTATAATAAAATTGCAAAAACTTCTTCGATTCAACGAATTCTCTTACTTTCATTCTCGCAAATTGTTACGTTTTCGGATTTTATCAACTAGGAAGCGACAGTGAATCAAACTGCCAATGATTATCCTAATTATTAGGTACAAAAATTTATTATTGAAAAAAGATAAAATTGGTTAATCTATGTTGGTCAACACGGAATCCGTTTCTGGAATTTACAAAAAAAAACTAAAAATTAGCGCGAATAAATTTTCTGGGTTGAAAGAGTTTGAGAGAAAATAAAGTTTTAAAATATGAAAAATTAATAAATATTGAAGTTACTCTATGACATCAAGTTTCACTCTGTAAATATCATTTCAGATTGTTAAATACAACCGAACTTTCCCTGAATAAATAAAATAAAGAAAACTAATATAAGATCATATTACAAATTAGATAATATGATATGAAATATGTTAGATAAATAAATAAAATAAAGAAAACTAATATAAGATCATATTACAAATAAGATAATATGATATGAAATATGTTAGGAAAGTAACTACATTTGGTATGCAATCTTACAACTTTATAAATTATTCAAAAAAAAGACAAAATCATATGGAAATTCATTTTTTTGCTTTACGAAATTCCTTGTTATAAATCATCCATATATTTTGCAATATCACATACAAAAAGGAAATTTTCATGAGAAAATAAATAAAATAAAAATTCGTGGCCAACAATTTTTTATCTAAATATATATTCCTTAAATTTCGCAATTATGTAATATATTGCACACGTGGCACTTTTGAGATAATATTTAGTACTTGGCCACCATAAAATCATATATACCACAAAAAAAATCATTTTATTATAAAAAAAATTCATTAAATATGTAAATAAAAGTAATTTCCTATAGACGTGGTACGTTATGCAATTAAGTAGATAAAAATATAACATAAATATAGATAGGGTAAAATCCGATTTAATAAATGCACTGTAATAAAAACTAATAAATAAATAAATAATTAATATATATAAAGGAAAAAAAAGAAAATAGAACGTTAGTTCAGTTTTTCAGCAGAGTTTGTTGAGAGAAAAGGAAAGGAAGAGAGAGAAACAAAACACCCCCGAAGAAATCTCCCCTCTTTCTCTCTCTTCTGTATTTCTTTTTTTTTTTTTTGGCGCACAAACTTTGTAAGAAAACTACACCCAACAACCATTGAAAGGGGCTTTCTTGTGCATACTTTCCGAATTTATCTTTTTTTAGCAGATTGTTTCGCACTTTTTTTTTTTCGTTTTCGTATTGTTTGGGGTTTTTTTTTTTTGAATTCAGTTTGAATCGGCGATAGAAGAACATGCCCATTCTCGATTCTGATTTGCATTTCATTTCTCGTGAATTTCGGAATTGGTGTAGTATTAGGGATTGTAGGAGATTTCGTTCTTGTTGTTGTTTGAGGCGAGCTTTGTTGAATTAGAATTAGGTTTTCGTTTGGGGTTCCTTTTTTTAGGTTTTTATTGGGTGTTGATCATTTGGTGGAAAAAAGATGATCATTTTGTAAATTCTTCGACGGTTTTCTTTTCCAATTGCTCGTAAATCCAATCGATTTTACCCGATTTTTTTTTTTTTTAATTTTCTGTGATTTAGTTCAATTTGGGTTATCTGAAAGATGTATATAGAAGAACTGAAAGAGGGGGATTCTGAGTGTGGTGATCAGCAAGTTTGTGCGCTTTATAAAGACGCGTTGGTTGTGTGGGACCCGAAAAGGGTTCTGGTTGGAGCAGGCGCTCGGGCTCTCTTCTATCCAACATTGCTGTATAATGTTGTCAGAAATAAGATTCAATCCGAGTTTCGGTGGTGGGATAGGGTTCATGAGGTATCTTTCATATCCAAATTTCTCGCATATATTATTTCTTTCAAGAAATTGATTTGCTGCACATTGATTTTATGATTTGATTAAATGGATTGCATTTTCTGTAGGTTCTAGTAGCCATGATTTTTTATGCTGTGGGATTTCTTATTATTATGTGTTATGTGTCATCGATTACGGTGAAATGATCGTAATTCTTGTTCTTCGCATATATTACTTGTTTCAAGAAATCGATTAAATGGATTGTATTTTCTGTAGGTTTCTTGAGCCATGATTAATTGTGTTGCTCTGGATTTGATTAGTCGAACTTTTTTTGAAAGAAGAAATTAATTCCACAAATTAGGTCTATATTTTTTTGTAATTTCAGTCTCGTAATAGTATCTAAATATCGTAGTAATGAATGATTTACTCAGAAGGGCAACTAGGCAAGAAAAAGGAATCGCGACTCGTAAGGACATTTTGCATGAATGGACACGTTTCAAATAGGACAAATTATTTTTTGATCGGTGGAATTATTCCTTATGATGGTGTCATCAAAGCTGTAAAGCTATTAATATGAATTATTTTCAGCGCATTTTCCGGTTGTTTTTATATGATTCTCTTAGTGGATGTTGTTGAGACGTTGTAACTTTAATTTTTTTTGGTCTTTTATACGATTTTCTTGATGGCTGTCGTTGAAATGCCGTAACGTTTACGATAATTAATAAAACATCAAAAATAAACCAAAAAAGAACCATTTTCAATTGAGATTTTGTGGTTTTTCTAGACTAAGTTGCTCTCGGACTTCAACTTCTGAAATTATGAAATTGCTGAATTCGTATTCTTTTAATAAATTCTGTTTCTGAAACTTTAACATGAGAAAATGACAAATTGTACAGTCGATTATTTTGAATTTAAATATTATTTATATGAGTATTAGAACTTTTTGAATTTGTGTGAAGTTAATACTAACATTTCCAAAACTAAGAAATATTCTCTTCCAATTTACCAAAAGATCCCAAGTTAATACTAAAAATTCTTAATTGACAAAATCTATGAATTTGAAGAATAAAGAAAGATCTATGAAAACCGAATTAATTGTTGACCTATTGCGTGTTACTCTTGTAAATATCCATTATGTTTATTCTGTTTTTTCTCGTGATATTTTGGTGTTTATGTCAACTTTGCTATTTACGTTGATTTTTCTCCTTTGTCAGTTTCTTTTGCTAGGAGCTGTTCCATTTCCCACCGATGTGCCTCGTTTGAAGGCTCTTGGTGTAGGTGGAGTTGTTACATTGAATGAACCATATGAGACTTTAGTTCCAACTTCACTATATCACGTAAGTATATATATATAAAATACAAATTTTTCGTTACAATTTAACAAGAATAAATTTAGTGAAATGACAATTTGTTTTGCTTATATATATTTTGCCTGTGTTTGTAGGATCACTGCATTGAGCACTTGGTGATTGCTACCAGAGATTACCTTTTTGCTCCATCGCATGCGGATATATGCCAGGCTGTAGCATTTATCCATGGTAAGTTCGAAGATAACATTTAATCTCAAATGATTCACTATTTTTTTTGGGTTTATATATATAACTTTTTTTTTGTAGACAACGAAGTTTGTGGAAAAACTACATACGTACACTGCAAGGCTGGCCGAGGAAGAAGCACCACAATCGTTCTTTGTTACCTGGTACGATTAATCATTGGACAGAGAAATCAAAAAATTACGAATTTAATAGACCCGCTTTGTACGAAATTGATCCCTTTAATAAACAGGTAAAGCACAAGCAAATGACCCCACAGGCTGCATATAATTACGTGAGGGCCATTAGGCCGAGGGTGTTGTTGGCCCCTGCTCAATGGCAGGTGTGATTGATTTTATCTATATTTTTTGACTATAAACTGATTATAATTATATATATATATGTATGTATTAATCTATTTTCTTCGGTAAAAAAATGCAGGCTGTACAAGATTACTACAGTGGATTGATGAAGAAAGCAGAAGAGGGGGAGATATGTGTGGCTAATTTACCGAGAAGGATTATGGGGTTATCGGATAAATTCGAAGTGGAAGATTTTGACGAGAATTCGTTGGTGTTGATTACGGAATCGGACCTGGATGGGTACGAGGAGGAAAACCACCCTGATTGGGGGAAGAAGGTGGTGGTAGCTGGTGGTGGTGCTGAAGTGAACCTTGCATGTAAGGTACAGTTTGCTAGCCAGGCTGCTATTTCTCGAATTTCGTGTTTCTGGCTTCGTTGCCAAACAGGGCATAAGGTTTCGAGAAAGAAGCTTTCTGATACAGCGAGGAGCAGCAGTCGAATGAGGAGTATGGGGGTTGATATCCATGTCTTTTGAAATAGGGGTTTGTGACACCCCACCCCACCCCCCACCCACCCATCCTTAGGTGGCTGTAGGGGGGAGTAAGATGGGTTTTTACGATTTTTTTTTTTTTTTTTTTTTTTTTTTTTTTTTTTTTGTGTATGATGGGCTCAAAGGGTGTTTGAGCCTTGGTGCTTTTGCCGAAGAAGCGTTGAGATGGCGAATTTGGTAAATGTACAGTTTACAGAGTCGAGAGTCGGTAAGTTTTATGTTGTTAGAAACCAAGGGGTTTTAATTTTTTGTGTTGTTGAGTTGTTGTCAAGGTGCAAGGTTGTGCTTGTGCATGAACAATCAAGACATGTTGGTTTTTTATTATATGTAATTCTGTATCTATATATATCGTGTCTCTCTTGTTGTTCTTATTTACTTTATTTTTATTTTTGGTGAAAATAAAGATTTGAAAAAAACTGTTTGATCAGAAGCAGCATATGTTGTTAGAGAGAGAGAGAGAGAGAGTTCAAATTTGGGGCAATTTGACGGATATTTCATTATTTGAGGGTGTAAAACGTAAAAATATTAGTTGAAAAGGGGCAAATGGATAAAAGAGATGAAAGAGCATAAATCGTATCACCATTTCAGCGACTTTGACAGAGAAGTAGTAGTCGTTGAAATAGACGAGGAGAAAGCATTTCAGCGACTTCGTAACTGTAAGAAGAAGATAAACTGATTTGAGAAAATATTAGCGTGTTCGCCATTGTTGCTGCTGCTGCTGCTTGGAGTTATTTTCTGACAGAAGAAATCGAAGAAGAAAAAAAAGCCATGTCTTTACTCTCTGTACCGCCTCTCCCCTCTCGAAATTATTCCCACTGTAAGCTCTCTCTCTCTCTCTCTCTCTCTCTCTCTCTCTCTCTCTCTCTCTCTCTCATCTGACTAATTTGAAATTGCGCGTGTGTGTTCTGAAGATAAGGGGGGAAAAAAAACCCTAGATTAATGAGGAAACCTATATCAATTTGCAATTGTTTCTGTTTCCCCCAATTTAGGTCAATTTTTTTGTCCTTCAATCTCTTATTGGTATGAAGATGGTGAATATTTTCAGGCATTTCTCTTTCAACAGCGTCTGCTCAGAAGAGACCCTTTTTTATTTCTTCGTCGTGGAATAATATGCAGAAGGCCAAAGGGTAATAATTAATCTACCTGATAGCTTTGTTTATATATATTATTATTATTTTTTTTTTTTTTTTTTTTGGTTTTCTGAAAAAATGTTGACATGGCTAGAGAACAGGAGGCTAAAGACATGGGGAGAAGACTTGTCCTAACTTTTCTAGTTGGATTGGGATTTTCTCCAGCATTGCCTTCTTACGGAAAGACGAAGAAACAAAGCCCGTACGACGAGAAACGTCTGCTGGAGCAGAATAAACGAGTGCAGAGAGAGAATAACGTCCCCGATGAATTCCCTAATTTTGTCAGAGAAGGTCCGTTATCTGTACTTATGTTGTTGCCAAAAGCTTTGTCTGTGGATGGAAAATTGTGATTTGATTAACAATCTTTTGTTTCAGGTTTTACGGTGAAAGTAGTCACTTCAGACAACTATGTTACGCGTGATTCAGGTCTCGTGTTGTGGGATATTGCTGTTGGAGAAGGCGATAGTCCAAAAGTTGGCCAACAGGTTTCTCCCTCTCTCTCTCTCTCGATCGACTTGTTTTTTGGGGAACATCTGTTTGGGTAATGGTAGTAAGTTGATGTTTTTTCGTCTTTTTGTTGTCTGCGTTATAAGGTGATATTTCACTATATCGGTTATAATGAGTCGGGCAGGCGTATAGACAGCACGTACTTACAAGGCTCCCCAGCAAAAGTTCGGGTCGGTACTAACGCATTGATTCCAGGTGACTGACATATTATTACAGAGAGCAATAATTGAAGATTTTCTATGTTTTTTTTCCTAAGACGGTGGAAATTTTTTAAACACAGGATTTGAGGAAGGAATTAGAGACATGAAACCTGGAGGAAGACGGAGGATGATTATCCCACCGGAACTAGGACCGCCGGTAAGTCCTCTCTCTCTCTCTCTCTCTCTCTCTCTCTCTCTCTCTCTCTCTCTCTCTCTCTCTATATATATATATATATATATATATATATATATAGGATTAAAGATTCTTGATCATACAGGTAGGGCCTTCGACGTTTTTCAGCTCAAAGCAATTCGAAGTTTTCGATGTAGAATTGCTGAGCATACAAGATTGCACAAGGAGGACAATTGGATTTTACTCTGATGTTGTTTGTAATTAGAGGAAAACAATGTTTAGATTTTTTGTTCTATCAGTGTAATAATAGCCGCAAACCAAAATCAAACAACAAACATGACAGATATGAGAAAATTTCTTCGATAGTATAAAATATAAATTAGTCGATTTATATCTACATGTATATATACAAAATTATATATATATATATATATATATATATATATATATATATATATATATATATATATATATATATATATATATATATGCATGTACATACAGTGTGGTTTGTATATTACTTGGTCCTGACTTTACCCTTTACAAATTGAAATCTGAATACCTAGTAGAATCAGAAGATCCTCAGACATGCAACTACAAGTCTACAACAAGTTAGTAGGTAGGTTGGCAGTTGGGAAGTTAAACTCCATTAGCAGTGTCCTAAAAAATGGAGATAACAATATTAAAAAAAATGAAACTCTGGTTAATCAATAAAAACAAGAGATAAAGAATTAGATGTATTTGAACTTACAGGATTGGCGTGAAACTGTCCGTAAAACGCATATATACCGAGTGTAACAATGCTGAGGACCACAAATCTCACCCAGGCTTCATAGTGAATCTGTGAACCAAATTTGAAACCGAGAAATGCTTTATCGTACTTCTCCAACTTCAATATTGACGTGGATGAATTAAAGACAATAATAATAATAATAATTTGTGTATCTTAATTACCTGAGCGAATAAGAACATGTTGACGAAAATGCTGAGAGATGGAATTAATGGAACTCCAGGGCAAGAAAATCCTGGTGGATCTGTATAAACCTGCAAAGTATATATGTTACTTAATAAAATATATGCACGTTTCGACATTAATTTTGAGTGTTTTATTTTTTATTTTAAACTTACATGTCTAAGATGAAGAGCTACAGCAGAAAAGATTGCAAAAACAGAAGGTACGATCACGAAAAGAAGCGAAGCACCAAAACGGAAGATGAGTCCACCAGCAAAACCGGAAAAGGCAACTGCGAGTAGGCAAATGATGCCTTCTGCCCTTGTGGAAATACGCCTAGTAGAAGCCTGAGTTGAAGGTGTCTTATCCTTCCACCGTATGGCTACTACGCATGCTGACACAACTGAATACCCTGTCTGAAAAACAAGTAATTTCAGCGTTCAAAAAGTGCAATTTGGAATCTATATATGTTTGAAAATGTTGTTCTATGTGATGAAAAACTAGATATTCAATGCTCGATTGCTCACGCAAAATCTTTCATGCAATGTTTTATCCGAACAATTTCAGCAAAACCTTTCACCCAAACACCAGCTTCTTTCTTCTTTTTTTTCCCAAAAAATATTTCGTAAACTCTATCTAAATAGCAATGGAGTATATAAACATACCAAGGATCCAACCGAGAGAATATGCGAGAGGACACGAACGTTTAGAAGTCCGGCCAAGACGCTGGCAATAAGACCAACCCAAACTTGAGAATGAACCGGTGTATGCCGTTTTGGATGTAATTTAGCAAAAATAGCTGGTAATAAACCATCTCTTCCAAGTCCAAGATATAACCGAGACTGGTAAGAACACGCAAATCAATCACATTTTGTCCAAAGCAAGACCAAACAAAAATAAGTTACTATTTGGAAACCTTAAAAAAGTTAAAAAAATGATTTTTTTTACTACCTGAACATAAAGGCCAACTAAAAGTGTAGTTGTCAGTCCAGCAACAGCACCGAAGCTGATCAACACAGAGACGTATTTCATGCCCTTAGCTGTGAAAGCTTTAGCCAAGGGTGCTTCTTCTCCGATATTTTTGTAAGGAATCATTCCGGTAATAACTAAGCATACTGAAATGTACAGTACAATACAGACAGCGAGGCTACCGATTATGCCTAACGGTAAGTCTCTCTGAAATATCAAGTTCACAAAATTAGTATTGAATTTTTTTTCTCCTTTTTCATACTAATGACAAATTGATCTGCCTCGGATATATATATACCTGGGGTCTCTTTGATTCTTCAGCCGAATTAGCAACTGCATCGAATCCTACATACGCGAAGAAAACAACGGTTGCTCCAGTCAATATTGACTTGGGACCGTTTGGAGCGAAAGGAGACCAATTCGAAACATCAACCTTAAAAGCTCCCACAATTATCACAAATAGGACAATGAGGACCTGCACAAATAATGTCTATTAGATATTTTCCCTCATATAAATTTTCATCACCAAAAACAACGCAACAACTGTCAATTAAGGCCACAATTGCACACGTCACAAAGGTACATTGTATCAGCTATGCATATTCTCGGTCACTTCGATTCAAGAAAACTTCAGACATTGAAGAGGGAAAAAAAAAAGAAGGGACGCATGAAGAAGAACAACAAACCTTTATAACTGTCATGATCGAGTTCAAGATCGAAGATTCTTTAACACCCCGACAAAGAACCAGGGTCAAAAGTACTAGGATTACGGGGGCTAATATGTTAATAGATAATGCTCCGAGGACTTCTTGGCCATGCCCAACCCAGCTTGGAATGGTGTCCTTGAGAGAAGGAATCAGCTCCAATACCGTAATCACGTAGCTAGCTAAGCTACGTGCTATGCTAGCTGCACCTATGTGATAATCGAGCATCAACTGAGTGAAGACAAGAAAAGCTGTGATCTCGTTGAAAGCTGAGTATGTGTACAGATATGCTCCTCCAACAACTGCAGGAAATCGAGAAGCTAGTTCGGCGTAACAGAGTGCATTCAGCACACAAGATATTCCAGCTATGATGAAGCTAATTGTAACTCCTGTAAGAAATTAACAGAGGATTTTAATGCAGGATTAGATTGCAAAGTTTCTCCCCCCTTTTTCACCATTGACATTGCATTTGGTTGTTTATTTCAAGCTTCATCTATAAAGCTACCATAACAGAATATTCTATTTTTTTTTTTCTATTTTTTAATATTTTATTTGAACCATGCTAATATATAAATGAAATGCAAGGGAAGTGTACATGCATAGCAAAATACACAATAGAACAGATAATTTTGCCTCAAATTGAAGTATCAAATGTCAGATGCAGCGAATTAAACCCTAATTCTGTTGAATTTCAACCAACCACAGAAAACAGCGAGGAATGTAAATCAAATTAATTAAATTAGCCACTGACCGGGACCGGCATCATGGGCAACGGTGCCGGTGACGACGAATATTCCAGCGCCGATGGAGGCGCCAATGCCGATTAGAATGAGATCTAAGAGGCCCAACCGCCGAACCAGACCCTCGCCGGAGTTCGTCCTAACGGCGCCGCCACCCGAAGGCGGAGCGAGGGGCTTCGACCTCAACGCCGACGACCAGAAACGGGAGCAGAACGACGGATTCGGCGACGAGGACAATGACGCCATCCCGGAGCTCCGATCAACTCTCGTGCTGCCCGACGGTCCTATCTACCGTAGAGAAAGGACAATAGAGAGAGAGAAACAGCAGTAACGTCTCTTTCTCTCACTAAAAATAAATACATATATATATACATGCTTGAGAATGTACAACCAGTGATGCGTGCATTAAAAGGTTGTACCTTTTAATCTGCAACGATTTACAGTCCAGGTTAATAAATCATTAAATTTGTTATTTAAGAAGAGGAAATTACTTTTCATTACTTCACTCGTTTAATTGACACGTTTGCATTTATATTCTTTTTCCATTAACTAAAAATGGAAATTATTTCAGATTTTTTTCTTTTTAAAATTGTTTATAAATAAAAGCTTTGTGCAATTTTAAATAATAAAAATAAAAAATTATAGTTCATGGTTTTTCCACTCCCATGGAATATGGTCATCACTAATGTGTGATTTTTGAATTGTAAATTGTAAATTATATTTAAATATTTTAATAATAAATACTTTTCAGATTTTCTATAAATCCTTAAGTTAATAAAAACATGAAGAATATATAGGTATTTATGGAATAAAGTTGAAAACACAAACAATAATACTAGAATATTATTTTATTTAAATATTAAGTATCCTTTTTAATAATACATCTAAAATTAAATACGGTATTTAATACAAAATATCTTTTTGTACGTACACATCATTACTAAAAACATGCATGCTGCAAATAAATCAATTTTCCTTTTTAGGAATTTGCATCCAAACCATATAAATGCAATGAGTAAATATACATTCTCGTATAACAACTTTTAAATTATACGACGTAAGCCATGTTATGTTAACCATGTGTGACAAGGTCGAGTTGACAACGAGATTCGATCTTGAGTTAATTGACAGAAACTCATTTGCTCCAACCGCTAGACCACTCATTACATGATAAAAAAAAAATTCTATTTTCTATATAAATTCCAATTGTATATTTTATATTTCAAATAATATTAAATTTTCCAATTATATTACGACTAATGTCTAAATATGCAAGCACGGCTTGTCCGGTGCAATTTAATGATTTATATTTCGCGCGCGATTGCGGGTATCGGTGCAAACGACTCAAGTCGAGCACAATGTACGCTTGTCCAAGTGTATTTAATTTTTTTACCGAATTTTCAAATTTCTATTACAAGTCGAGCTCGAACGAGCTTTAATTACAACTCGAGCTAAAGTAATCAAAAATTCAATACATATCTTATTATTTTTCTAATCAAACTCGAGTTACAGTTAAGTTTCACAACGGAAATATTTATTCAATCTCGATTCGCTATGTTAACAAACCGAGATCAAACGACTTTTAACGAACAACCTCGACCAGTGTAGCGCTCGCGTTTTTTTTTAGTTAAAAAAAAATGTTATATAAGTAAAAAAGACTAAATATTTATATTTTCAGCCCATTGTAAATTTTGAAATCAGCTTCTCATTAATTCTTTTTTTCCCATCTCCACCTGATTTATAGATTTCATAATCCAGACTTTCTATTTTATATATATATACATATACATATATATATATATATATATATATATATATATGATATATATATCTGCGTGTGTTAGAGAGAGAAAGAGAGAGGAGTGGGACAAGTGATTTCAGGCTTTCTCTCTCATCTTATTGATATTACTCTTGCCTGAATTCTCTCCAACCCGTCTTCACCTTTCGTCTCTATCTCTCTCTTGATTTTATACATATACATACAGACATATATATATATATATATATATATATATATATATATATATATATATACATACATACACATAAGCATATGTGAAGAAAAAATTGTTAATTACTCACAACTTTTGTGGCGCCCATCTATAATTTTTATTTTTATTTTTAATTTAATTTCGTGAATGTGATAAAAAAAAACGGATTTACTGCGGAAGACTGGAGATTTAAAGGTTTTTACGTTAATCCCCACACTCAGGTTTTAGGGCGGAAACGTAATTGACTTTCACTTGATATATCATCATGCATTTCTTCTTGGGGGAATTTCATCATACATCTGTTGCGCAGGGATTTTTGTTCTTTAAGCGAGGAGCGTTGATTCTGTTTCTTTGTTCTATGTATATAGATTAGGGTTTTGGTTGAGCAATTGAATCAGTCTTTGTCGAGCTAGGGCTTTTTTGATTCTATCTTGGGCTCATTTTGGAAGGTTTAGCTCAGTTTTTCTAGGATTTGGTTTTTGAGATTGAAGTGTTTTGTTGAATTCTGGGTATCTGTTTGTTCATCGAAAAAATCGAGTCTTAAATCTCGTTGTGAAATTGGTGATCGGGTTTAATCGGGTGCTGGAATTGAGGTATCTTCGATTTCAAACACTTGACGAATTCATAGAAAAAGGGTCCGTCTTTCGACATTGTTTTATCTGATTGAGTGCACGAGAGGACCGATTCGACTATGAGTAGGAGAGTGCGAAGGAGGGTTTTAACGAGGGGCAAAGAAAAATTAGATTATTCCGAAATTGACGAGAGTTTGAGCTTGGATGACAGAGGGGTTCTTGATTGGACAAGGTTACCGGACGATACAGTAATTCAGCTTTTCTCATGTCTGAACTATAGAGACCGAGCTAGCTTATCTTCCACCTGTCGAACATGGCGAACTCTCGGCAAATCTCCATGCTTGTGGCAAGCTTTAGATCTCCGGTTCCACAAATGTGACCCAGCATCCGCTTCTTCACTCGTCTCTCGATGCGAAAACCTTCACAAGCTCCGTTTCCGTGGCCCAGATTCTGTCGATGCAATCATAAATCTTCAAGCCAAGAACCTACGCGAAATTAGTGGAGATTCGTGCAGAAAAATGACCGACGCTACACTCTCTGTTCTTGCAGCAAGGCACGAATCGTTAGAGTGCCTTATGATTGGTCCAGATTTCTGCGAAAGAATAAGCAGCGACGCTCTAAAAGCAGTCGCAATTTGCTGCCCGAAGCTTCGTAAGCTTCGGCTCTCGGGCATGCACGAAGTGGACGCAGATGCTATCAATGCTCTGGCGAAGCACTGCCCGAAGTTGACCGATATCGGTTTCATTGACTGTCGAAAGGTGGATGAGACAGCATTGGGAAATGTTGCTTCGGTTCGTTTCCTCTCAGTGGCAGGTACTACGCATATGAAGTGGCATTTGATTTCGCAGCATTGGAGTAAGCTTCGGGACCTGGTAGCCTTGGATGTTTCTAGAACAGATATTACCCCTACCATCATTTCAAGATTCTTCTCATCCTCTATCAGTTTGAAGGTCTTGTGCGCGTTGAATTGTCCGTTACTGGATACGGACCCCACATATCTCTCCAACAAGAATCATAAAGGCAAAGTTCTGCTTGCTTTCACCACCGACATTCTGAAAGGAGTGTCTGCCCTATTCGCCGATACACCAATGACTAGTAAAACGAATTGCTTCCTCGACTGGAGAAATACTAAAGTAAAAGATGGGAGGACCGACGAGGTTTTGAATTGGCTCGAATGGGATCATTTCGAATCGCTTCTACGTGTTCCGAGAGCAACCGCCCGGTTTGGACAGTTTCTGGCTCAACCAAGGTACGAGTTTGCTGCTTACGTTCATGCAGAGCCCACAAGAGGAAGTTCAAGAAAGGGCAGCTACTGCACTCGCAACTTTCGTTGTTATAGACGACGAAAATGCATGTATCGATACTGGTAGGGCTGAAGCGGTTATGCGTGATGGGGGCATACGCCTTCTCTTAGACATTGCTCGATCTTGGAGAGATGGGCTTCAATCAGAGGCTGCAAAGGTAAAAACATTTCTTTTTGACATGTTACTGTAATAAGTTCACTACAATGGGAGCATAAATGTGTAATACTTGATCTTGTTTTTCAAATGTAGGCCATAGCAAACTTGTCGGTGAATGCTAATGTTGCGAAAGCGGTGGCTGATGAAGGAGGCATTAACGTTCTTGTAAATCTTGTTAGTTCGGTTAATAGAATGGTCGCTGAAGAAGCTGCTGGAGGATTGTGGAACCTCTCAGTTGGCGATGATCACAAGGTCTCTTTTTATTTATTCATTTATATATAAAATAAATAAGTTATACTTTATTTTTGTATCGATGAATAAAAAAAATCATATTATAGGGTACGATTGCTGAAGCCGGTGCGGTGAAAGCTTTAGTTGACATTATCTATAAATGGTCAAGGTCTGGTGGTGGTGATGGAGTGTTGGTATGTTCTGCGCGTATTGATATACTTATAATGTGTTTATTGTATATTATTATTATTATTCTTTATATTAGTTAATTAAACGTGCTCGAGTATGTCAAAATTGGATCTTCGATTGGTTTTCAGGAACGTGCAGCTGGTGCATTAGCGAATTTGGCAGCGGACGATGGATGCAGCAGAGAAGTTGCTTCTGCTGGTGGTGTACAGGCCTTAGTAATGCTAGCTCGAACTTATAAAGTCGAAGGAGTGCAAGAGCAGGTAGTATTAATTATGCTAGTATTAACATGTTTCTTTAATTTTTATTTTTTTAATAAATTAGATGGTACTCCGTTTTTGACAGTTGTTACTTTTCTGTTATTGTACAGGCGGCTCGTGCATTGGCAAATTTGGCTGCTCATGGAGATAGTAATACTAACAATGCTGCTGTAGGACAAGAGGCAGGTGCTCTTGAAGCTCTTTTACAGCTTACTCGTTCCACTCATGATGGTGTTAGGTAACATTTTTTTTGCTGAAATTTGTATCTCGTTTATTTTATTACAATAGTATGGTGCTTGTAATAATGAAAGCATTGTTGGTTGATATACAGGCAAGAAGCAGCTGGTGCATTATGGAATTTGTCCTTTGACGACAGAAATCGAGAAGCTATTGCAGCGGCTGGTGGAGTTGAGGCATTGGTATGGCATTGTAATTATGTGGGCTTCTTTTTTTTTTTTTTATTTTAAATTTCTCACATTACTGAATCATCGTACTAGGAAGAAAGCCTCTCTTGTTCTTAGTCATAATTAAGTTTTAGGGCACCCGTTTTACGAAGACAATGTGAGTAGGGCAAATCTCTCTTTTACTTTCCGAATTTACATTAGATAGATAAAGTTTTGATCTTTGATTAGAATTGCTTCGGGTCATTTGTTATCCTTGAACTTATTCAACTTTCTGAAACGTTACCACTAGGTAGTTTTCTAATATCTGTTGGATTATATTTGATAGATTCGTGTCTTTTTTGTCTAACAAGTTGATCCATCTCGAGGGGGAGTGTTAGATAATATTTTGATATATTTAATAATTTTTATATATCTTTGGTTACGACATCTATGTCTATATTTGGAAGATTTCTTTCCTTTTAAGGACTTTACCATCTCTATATAAGAGTTGGTTTATTCAATAAAATTTACGCTAGGTTTTTTCGGGCTTTTCTATTCTATCAGTTATATCTTTAGGTTACTTACTTTGATCCATATCATTAATTGTTGAGTAAAATTTGGAAATGTGCTGTAATTATGATGATCGTGTAAACGGATATCTGTCTGAATTTGGACTACAACATTAAATGATTTTATGATATCTTACGCTCCCGTGAAAACAGGAAGGAACATAAACCATCTCACTACTTTCATCACATTTATTACAACTAAAGTCAACATAGGATATGTTGACTTTATTTGTATATATGAATTCCAGTAATGATGAGTTTTATTTGCGATCGTATGTTATTAATTAACGTGTCTCCGTTTATCAAGAAATTAAGATGAAAAAAAGATGGATCATTTTATTTTACCATCGTAGCAGTATTGGATGTTTCTTTATAATTATTATTATATATTTTTTTAAATCGTGTTCAAGAATTTCCTGGTCACTCTAATTGTGCATTTTTTTGTTATGGTGGTTAGGTTTCTCTGGCACAGTCTTGCTCAGGTTCCTCTCATGGTCTTCAAGAGAGGGCTGCCGGTGCTCTGTGGGGCTTGTCTGTTTCGGAAACAAATAGGTACGAGTACTCATTATTTAAATTATTATTCTCGTGAAATTTTTGCACATATTAAGAAAATTATTAAATGAAATTTTCTCTCCACGTAAATATTCATTAATGATCAAGGACAAAAACGGTAAAAAAAATTATATTCTTCGAAATTCTAAAGCATAATACTCATGGTGTTAGACTATGTAGATGAGTTCTAAAGCAATATTTTATTAATTATTTTTGTAGATGGTTAGTCTACAGATTTAGCTTTTATATTTTGTAATCTGTTATTTTGTCGGTCATTAATAAATTTACGTATATCACGTTCGTATTCTTGTTGTAATAATAGCATTGCTATTGGGCAAGAAGGAGGGGTGGCACCGCTAATTGCATTGGCACGATCTGATGCTGAGGTCAGTTTATTTAAATCAGAAAGCCATTTTTTTAATTTCTCCAGATTTTTTCGTTTATGAAATGATACATGCACGTGTTCTCTTTTCCATGTCATAATTTCTCCCTTTTGAGTTTTATATTTTGCTTATGTTGCTCTTTTCCTACACGAAAAGGATATTTCTCTTATTAAGTAAACTCCTATAGTTGGTTTTATAGATAAATCTCGTATTACATGTAAGCTCCTAATAATAAATTCAATCTCAATTGACATAAAAATGCAACTCAGACATATTTGGTATCTATTACCTTTATTATTATTTTTTTCCCCTCAAACTTTTGCTCCTGATTGAAGAATTAGTAATGAATGAACCTTATGATAGTGAGTAGTACGTACATTTTCTTATATATATTGATGTAGTGTTAAAGAAATCTCGGGAAAAAAAATATGAACATGTTTAAGATTAAACATATAGTGATGGGATTGATAAGATTGGTTGGATTGGTTAGGATTATGATAGTGTAATACTTGTTTATCTTCTATTTGGAACTTGTAATTATATAATCCTTATATTCGTAGGGGATGAATTTGGACTAAATATTCATCTTGATTAAATCACGGGCCCACTTTAAACCACGGGCTTGAAACATAAACCTCAAAGCATTCGACAAAAGGTTGACAGTTATTTTTTTTAGGATGTACACGAGACTGCTGCAGGAGCACTTTGGAATCTTGCATTCAACCCGGGAAATGCTCTTCGCATTGTAGAGGAAGGCGGTGTTCCTGATTTAGTTCATCTCTGTTCTTCGTCTGTATCTAAAATGGCTCGATTCATGTCTGCGTTGGCACTCGCATACATGTTTGATGGAAGGTAACTCTTTAACAAACAAACTTGTAATAATAATAATTTGGATATTAATTACTTCGATTTTGAGAATTTGGAAAATATTGTATGGTGTGCAGATTGGATGAAATTGCTGTGGTGGGAACGTCTACGGAGAGCGGTTCGAAGAGCGTGAACTTGGATGGATTTAGAAGAATGGCTATGAAACACATTGAAGCTTTTTTGTTGACTTTTTCCGATCCTCAGGCATTTGCTGCTGCTGCAGCATCATCAGCCCCTACTGCACTCACACAAATTACGGAAGCTGCTCGTATTCAAGAAGCTGGCCATCTTAGATGCAGGTTCTCTCTCTCTCTCTCTCTCTCTCTCTCTCTCTCTCTCTCTCTCTCTCTCTCTCTCTCTCTCTCTCTCTCTCTCTCTCTCTCTCTCTCTCTCTCTCTCTCTCTCTCTCTCATGATTTTTTTTTTGACTATTATACCGGATATTTGAGTGTTAGAAAATTTTCAAAAAAGTTTTGAACATTTCAGCTATTTTTAGCAAAAAGCGTGTGCTATATAGCATACGATTTTTTGTGATTTTGCTTGACTGCTTAAAAATTAGTGAAACAATTTTTAGATGAACTATTTCTTGACTACTTATGGATAAACATCCTATATACTATATATTTGAGAGTTGAATCTTGTTTTTTTAACTATTTGAAAGTTTGAGCTATTTTTAGAAAAAAATGTGTGCTATTTCTAGATGAAGTACGGTTTTTTGTGATTTTGCTTGACTGTTTAAAAATTATTGGAACAATTTTTAGATGAAGTATTTTCTGATGAATTACGAATAAACATCTTTTATTTCAAATGTAATTTTTTTTTGAAGCATCTCAGTAATTTTTAGCAAAAAAAGTGTGCTATTTCTTGACAGTTTAAAAATTAATAAAACAATTGATTTTTTGTGATTTTGCTTGACAGTTTAAAAATTAATAAAACAATTTTTGGATGAGCTATTTCTTGACTACTTATATGAATAAATAGAATATTAATTTTTTTTAAACATTTCCGCGATTTTTACGAAAAAAAGGTTGACCGGTAATATCTAATAAATAGTAAAAGGTATTTGACAAAAAGTTCCCCTACTGAATTCCACAGACACTAACACGACTAATGGCTATTGTTGTTGCATTTGTTGCTGCTGAATACTAAATATCTATTGATGTTTTCTTTCATAAATGTCGAATTCGCCTTTACCCACACATACAACTTATTCATTTATTTATAAATACAGTGGAGCCGAGATTGGAAGATTTGTTCTTATGCTAAGAAATCCTTCTCCGATACTCAAGGGCTGTGCTGCATTTGCTCTGCTTCAGGTACTCTCTCTCTCTCTCTCTCTCTCTCTCTCTCTCTCTCTCTCTCTCTCTCTCTCTCTCTCACTTTTATTCTGTTCTTCACTAAATTTCACGGCAGTGATGCTTCTTTTGGAGTTGGGGATGTATAAAATCGATATTTTAATATTTTTTTTTCACGCATACACGGCGATTGCTTGTCATAAGGTATCATACGGGAGTGGGAACTCCAAATATATCGATTTATCACCAAATACTGCCTAAAACCAACCCTCCCTGAACTTAGGGTGAAGCAAAAGAAAGAAATCAATGACCATAACTATTTTTTCGGAATTTAATAGGTGACTAATATAGATACATATATATATAACAATTCTGCTTTGAAATTACTTAATTTTATATAACTCTATAGATTTAATTTTATTTATATGTGAACATGCTGTATTACCAGAGAGA